GGTGAAAAATCACAAGAGGAAGAAGATGATGATGAAGGGACAAATTCTGAGGGAAAGAATGAAGATTACAAAATAAAAGAGGAAGGAGATAAAGAACCTGTTGATGAGGGGATCACTTCTGAGGAAAAAAATGAAGATGACAAATTTGAAGAGGAAGAACATAACGAAGAAGGAGCTAAGTGGAAAGGTTCTGAGGAGGGAAATAGAGATGAATAATCAAAAGAGGAAGAGAATGAAGAAGAAAAATTAGAAAGGGAAGAAGATAAAGAAAAGGATAATGAACGGTAAGGTTCTCCTAAAGAAAAGGGCAACAATGATAATTCAGAAGAGGAATAGGACAAGGAGGAAGGTATAGAAGGGAAAGATTCTGATGAGGATGAGGGAGGGAAAGGAGAAGAATAATCAAGTAAACATCCTAGAAGATTAAAAAGAGATAAAAGACCTGCTATGAAATCTCCATAGGTCAGAACTAATGTTAGAAAGAAGAGAAAAATGGATGATAAGGAGCGATTATTTGAAATATGCATGACATCATGTGAGGAAGATGAGGGAGACAAGTAAGTCCTTATACTGTGCCTAAAAACTAACTGACTAAAATATTATTGACAATCTATTTATTTTTTCCTTTTTCTTTAACAGGATCATTGTAGATTTGTATGGCTACTACTTGACTTGTGCAGAGCTATAATGTTTTGGTGGAAAGAGATGGATTAGTGACCGGGTGATGTCAATGGTTGCCCGAACTTTGGTAGGTGCCCAAAAGGAAAATGAAGGGAAAGTCTGGAGACATATTTTTGGTTCTAAGTTCATGCTAAAAATGATTAGCAACCCTTTGAAATGGACAATTGATGACAACAAGGGAGAAATCTTTCCTGAGTTTTTTGGATATAACATTATTGATTGTGAATTCATTTTTGGCCCAACTCTTTTCCATAGTCACTGGTTTTGCTATGTCTTCGAGACGAAGACCAAGAACTTCTATGTGTTAAATTCATTGGTCAGTAATAGGGAGTATTTTCAAAAATAGTAAGAAGAGGTAGAAGAAGAGAATGTTAAGAAGAAGGGCAAGGAAAAGGAGAAGAAGAAGAAGAAGAAGAAAGGACAATTGGATCCCAAAGAAATGATGGCAAGAAGATGCGTATGTTTATACTTATCACTGAACATTACTAACATCTATATTTGTCATTGTCTTGTTGCCTAGTTGTAAATCAACATTACTAACATTGCAAGTCTTGACTTTGCAGAGGAATTGCTTTCACTATCTAGTTCATGCAGTCAAGCCACAATTGTTTGAGAATGACATTAGCACGGACACTATATGGGCTAAAATTCATGTACAAACTGATACGTGAGTTTCTTTTATGTTTATATATCATTAAGCTTATATTTACATGTGGACAATGAATTTTACATTATGTTTTTTATTTTGTTTTTAGCCATACTTGTAGGGTACATGTTATGATATGGTTACAATTATGGAACAACACTGTAGATAAGAATGGGTATATGATGCCAAAATACTCCCACGTATGCATTCTTCACTTTACGTTTTCACTCTTTCATGTACTACATATTTGTTGTTGTCCCTTATAAGACTTTCTTATGGTGTAGGATGACCTCTATAAGAAGAAGGTAAAACTCTTGTGGTGGCTACTGAGCCATCGTAACAATATGAAGGAGCCCGAAGCCATGTCCTCGTTAAAAGGATCCCAAGCAATGAGAAAGAGGAAATAGAGGATTTTTTTATAGAACTTTAAGATTTAATTTTATTCATAATCATATCCTTTTGTATAGTTAACCTATTTTGTGCAATTAACTTAGACAATAGTGTTTATAAATGCTAATTACAAGTTTATAAATATAGCTAATAGTTTGTTTTATTAATTAATATCGACAAGTGGTTATCACTTTATTAACAAGTGTGTATAAGTATATTGACAAGGTAATAATTCACCATTGACAAGTGCTAAGGCACTAAGTGCTATCATTCTCTTCCAAAATCAGCCAGTTAAAAGAACCTGTTGACTACTTGGCATTGACGATTGACAAGTAATAATAACTATATTGATAAGGTACTAATTCGCCATTGACAAGTGCTGAGGTAGTAAGTACTGTCATTCCCTTCGAAAATCAGCCAGTTAAAAGAACCTATTGACTACTTGCCATTAGTGATTGATAAGTGGTTGTAATTATATTGACACGCTACTTATTCTCCATTGACAAGTTCTGATGCGCTTGGTGCTGTTGTTCCCTTGAACAATCAACCAGGTGCAAGAACCTATTGACTACTTGGTATTAGCGATTGACAAGTAGTTATAATTATATTGACACGCTACTTATTCTTCATTGACAAGTTCTGATGCGGTTGGTGCTGTTGTTCCCTTGAATATTCAACCAAGTGCAAGAACCTATTGACTACTTGGCGTTGGCGATTGACAAGTGATTATAATTATATTGACACGCTACTTATTCTCTATTGACAAGTGCTGACACACTTGGTGCTGTTAGTCCCTTCAAAAATCAACTCGGTGCAAGAACCTATTGACTACTTGCCATTAGTCATTAACTACAAGGTATCACTTTATTTACAATTCATTGGCACCTTTGTCTATATTAAACCTTAGAGCATCAACCATGATTGATGATGTTAATTTTGACCTTGTCGGGTGTGACACAATGAGGTTGTCTTACACATTATGGGTGTGATCATTGTTGAACTTTGTAACCCTTAAAATTTCGTTATCTTTCCTTATTGAATATGCTGCAATGTTCCATTTCATAGCCCTCTACCTTGCAATATGCAATGATCTTGTCTTTGTTATTCTTCTTAAACTTGTATGAAAACTTGTGGGAGATGCTATACTTGTATAATGCTTATCTAAAGGCATCAACATTAGAGAAAAACTGCCCTTTCTCTACTAACAAATCCTTCCATTTTATAGAATTCATTTCAGGTATTGGTGTAGGTACCATTTGTACAACGCATGCCAATTCCAAGTCTTCAATCTCAAGATAGATACTTGGCAGAGAGAAAGAGCATCCATCTGAAACTCTCAATAAATTATCAATCCTGCATTCAATGACAACATTAGAATTATACTTTTCAACATTATTTACGTTAACAAAAAAATTTACACAATTTACACATGTTGATTCTCTAATGGGCAATCCGTTGATGCTTCTATGGTGTCAATCTCATTTGCAACTACATACACATGTCCACTTTATTTGTTATACTTGATCAGATATTCTACTCCCTCATCATCAACTAGATCTACAAGTGTGCTTGTATCAACATTGACTGTGAATTTTAATTGGATTATATTGCTTTCATTCCCTATAATTGATTATATCAATCTTGTTAACTCTTCATATGTTGTCCCTTCCTTTATTGTTCTTGTTCTAACACTCCCTCCAACATATTGCATACTACCTTGGTCATCATTTTGAAAATGCCTCCCTATATGGAAAAAAACATAATATATGTTCTCCAGAAGAACTTTTCATCTTACAGGTCAACCTGCACCACACACAATGTATTGACAACTAGAAAAAGGTGTATTGATAACACATTTATCTACTATTGACAACACGCAGTGTTGTTTAATAGCAGAGATTTTTCAACAAAACAAGCTTACCTCAGATGCTTGGGAATAATATATATAATGTCCTATATGAAAAAACATAACATAATACGTGTTTTCCAGTAGTACTTGCATTCTCACTGGTTAGCTTGCACAGTACAATGTATTGACAACTATTCATACTATATTGACAACACAACAAAACACTATTGACAACATGTTGAGATATTTATATCAGATATTTGTCAATAGAACAGCATTGCATCAGATTAATCCATATATTAGCTATGCAAACTGAATGATCGCAGGTTTACCCAGAAAGCATTATCCTACCCTTAAACAATAATGAAATCATTAACGCACAAAAAACCATTTACCCATCTAACAATGGATATGCTACTGTTAATCAGTAATTTACGTAATTATTTACGGCCAACAATTGTTTACCTAGAAAATTTATTTTCTGTTGATGAAATGCTACTGTTATAGAAGAAACACTCCCAACTCACTTAGATGAAGACAAGGGTTGTAATCATGGATATGAGGAAGTGAAGATGATCCTACCGTGATCAACAATCATGGATATGCAGTAACCTTCACTATTGCTGATCATGGGTTTCGTGAGACGTGCGCGTGCAAGCAAAATCTTCTTTTCAATGTTAAGGGCAAATGTGTAATTTTATTTTCAGACTTATTCACTCTTAGGTTTCTAGAGACCTGGCAACTATTTCTTGAATTCATGGGACCTCAGCATATTTTAAGTGCTTCTATGAGACCTTAGACTGATTTTCCCTGAAATAAAAGACACAACTACAAAAATGCCAAGCATGACTAACAATTTGCAGAGGGTGGCCAAATTTCTTTATATTTTATACCTCTTAGGTAAACCATATGGAAGAAAGGTCAAACTCCTTGTAACTTGTTAGTTGTTATTTCTGTATTTTTATTTATGAATGGAATTCAGTTTTCATTCAAAAAAAAAAAGGTCAAACTCCTTAAATCTGCAACCCTTCACTAACATCCGTTTAACAAATGATTTGCTGCTCTTACCAAGTTGTTTGTTATTTAGTTGTTAATTATTCATAGATGAACACATGACTCACCAAAATATAAGGAACTGTGAGAATGACAGAAGCTAGTCAAATAAATTTTTGAAGAGGGATACTATGCAGCTCCTAAATGTTTAAACTTTTTTTTTTCTTTTTCTTTTCCCCTTTCTTTTGGGAATTACTCTTGCATATTCGGTTTCAAACTCCTTTAATTTTGTATAACTTCCCAACAACTATCTAGAAGAATCAACAGTCAACACAGTACTTCGGCGAAATCAACAAACATATGCAACTAACAAAACCTAAAGATTTGGTCAGTGCAAACATCAAAATTATAGAAGATTTTTTGGTACTTTCAAACGCTATGATCATCTTTTTAAAATCAAAGTAGGTTTGCTCCAATGCAATGCCCGACATGTTTCATAAATAAGATGAGAGAAGGAACGAATGTGTACATCCCATGCATACCATCAACATTCGCTCTAGATCATTGGAGTGAACATCTGAAAATGCATTTAGAACATAATCTGAAGGTGAAAGCCCGTTCATAAGAGAGAGCTGAGCTTGAAACATTTCACCGTGACTGTGTGATCTCCATTATTCAGTCCACTGCACCAAAAATCGAATATGGCGCATTCCGCTCAGCAACCCCCTGGCACGGCTACCGGCGGCGGCGGCGGAGGCCACAGCAACGGCAATAACTTCACCAGAAGAACTGCCACTAAACGTAAGGCTAAGAAGTGTCATCCTCTATACCCTCTCGACCCCCATAAGCTAGTAGCAACGATTTCCTCAGTGACTTCTTCTTCCTTTTCCTTTCTCCGCCAGAGCGATGTCGTCCTCCTCCCTTCCCAAACTCTGCTTCTGGAATCCATCCTTTCTTCCACATCCCTCTCTCTCTCTAGATTGCTTTCTCTCCTTCCCAAACCCTCCGATCCTCTTTCGCTGACTCCAAATCCTCCATTGCTGCCTCAAACACAATGCTGGTTCCATCGTTTTCTTTCTGCCACTTCCAGCGACGATTCCCTGTGGCTCGACGCTTTCCATATGTCCAAGCCTTGTTTCACTCATCTTCTTAATCTTCTCTCTCCATCTTTGGGCTCTGCGATCCCTAAAATTTCTCCCATTTATGCTTTAGCTGCCTCGCTCTTTCGCCTGGCCCATGGAGCTAGCTACAAGGCAGTGGCGAGGCGATTTGGGGTCGAATCCGCTGTTGCATGTCGGGCGTTTTACGTTGTCTGTAAAGCGATCAATGAGGATCTGGGGCATTTGTTTGAGCTTCGTAGTGATACGGAGAGGATAGTTGTGGGTTTTGGATGGAGATCACTTCCAAATTGTTGTGGGCTTTTGGGGTTGGCGAGATTCGGAATTGATGGTGAGCTACTGGGTAAAAATGGTTGTCTGATGCTTCAAGCATTGGTGGATTACGAAGGGAGGTTCTTGGATGTGTCGGCTGGGTGGCCCAGTACCATGAAACCCGAATCCATTTTGCGTCAGAGCAAGCTGTATTTGGGGGTTGAGGAATCCAGAGAATTGTTGCAGGGACCTTCGTATAAGCTCAGCGATGGTTGTTTGATTCCGCCATATATTTTGGGAGATTCTTGTTTTCCCCTTTTGCCATGGCTTTTAACACCTTATAACAGACTGAATGAAGAAGATAGTTTTAGCTCGGTGGAAAGGGCCTTCAATTCTGCTCATAATCAAGCAATGGGTTCGGTAGGATCTGCATTTAGGAGACTGCGAGCTAGGTGGCAGCTTCTATCAAAGCAATGGAAAGAAGACTGTATTGAGTATTTGCCGTTTGTAATTGTTACTGGGTGTTTACTGCACAATTTTCTGATTAAGTGTCGCGAGTCAGTAGCAGAAGAATTCGTAGAACATGTTAACGAAGAGGATGTTCCTGTTTTTGAAGGAGTGGTAGATGAAGGTGCACAGAGAATAAGGGATGCACTTGCTTTGCACATGAGTCGGGTAAGCATTGAAAGATGAATGACAGAGCAATGATATCAGGTGCATTTCTATTTTTCTGTGTGTAATTGATGGATCGGAAAATACTTCTTTTTCAGTCATTTATGAGTCACGTGTGGTCACTAGTTCATTTTGCTCAGCATCTTCTCATATCCAATGTGTTGCCATGGCATGGAGGTTTGATAATATTATTCTGTTTCTGAAACTGTCTTAATAGTTGTCAAAAAATGAGTAGTATGATATCATCACTTCATTTCTGATTAAATGTGCATTTGTTTATGTCAACATCCCTGTTGTATTTTTTTTTATTTTTTGAGGAAGACATCTAGAAAACAATGGTTCCGTTTGTTTCCTTAATATATTAAATAGAATTTATGAGAGATAGCTGGGCAAGCATTCAACTGAGCGTGCTTGTGTTATATCATTATAATATTGACATTTCTATTATTGTTGTTATTAATTACTGTTATTAGTTAGGAATATAGCCGTTGGATAGGTGAGAGTTAGAGGCCTATATAAATGGCTGGTTACCTATGTAAACATCATGGCTTAGTATAATCAGAACTACTGTGCATTTCTCAGAATCTGTCTACCTTTCTGTTCTTCTTCTTCTTCTTCTTCCTCTCTCTCTCTTTCTCTCTCTCTCTCTCTTCGTCTTCTCTGTTTCTCTCCCTCTTCTTTCCAAATTACAATCATACAACAGCTTGTCTGATTTTCCTATAAATTTACCTTCCAAGAGGATAATGTTCTAGTCAATGAGCTATGAAACAATAGCTCATTGATTCTTGAGAATCAGTCATTGCTTCTTGTTACTGGGATTTTGCCAAGCAATTTTGTGATCAAATACAGCAAACCTTTTTGTGAAATTGAACCCAGACAGCTTTGACTCTTCTATATTTATTGATAATTATCTGCAAGGAGATAAAACCAAATAATAACTGGTTCCATCCCTAAAATATAGCTTTTTTGGATTCAAACAGACCCAAGAATGGCTCTGGGAAAATCTAGTTTGTCATCTGTAAATCATGCAGGCATTACCATCAGTTTCATAAATTGCAGGCTTAAATATCATCTTGCATTGCATTTTGTCCTCGCTGCTACCAGGGAAGATGATAACTAAATTTGGTTTGTGTATCTAACATTAACATTGAGTAAGCTATCAGTATGGTGGACCAAAAAATATCCCAAGAAACTAGAATATTTAGAGAAGCAGGCATTTATATACAAATCAACACATGAAAGCTTCTCTCCCTCCCTCCCTCTCTCTCTCACACACACAAAAAGAAAAAGAGAAAGGAAAGAAAGAAAAGAAAAGCTTGTTACCTTGCGAAAGGAACAAGAAGACTACACATTTCTTGGGAGGCACAATGCCTTCTCTTGGTTAGAGAATCTCCCTTTTCTACTGTAGATGAATTGTCCACTAGACTACAGATACATGATACTACTGATCATTACAAGAAGAGACTTGAGGATTTCGAAATTACAGATCATTAATGATGGATATTCATGTCGACCACAGGGTCCTTCAAAGTCATAATATTTATAATTCAAAATTGAAGCTTGGCTGAGGAACAGTTTCTTGCACAGCTGAACAAGCAAGACATCATACTCCTGCAACCTAGACGTGATGGATTATGCTGTCTCATTTGAATGACTCTGATGAACTCATCTGCACTTAAATCTCCATCTCGGTTTGCATCAAACACATGGAATATTATGTCCACCACATTATCTGTAATTGTAACCCCACATACCTGCATTTTTATCGTAGTCAGAAATCGCCAATCACATATATTGTTTGGAGTTATGGACAGCCATTAGGATATGTTGGAAGGTTTTTGTGGAGGGAAGAGAAGAAATTTTGAGAAAACATTCAAGTGTATTGTAACCGAAAAAAAAAAAAAAATCAGGAGTATCTGGAATACTTGTCAATAGAGCCAATTTCCGATATCTATTTTCAGGAACATCAGCAATGATGTTAGCTAACACAGTAAGGGGTTAGTACCTGAGCTGCTGCTCTCTGGAAATCAGTTTTGGTCAAGGCCCCATTTATCTTCCCATAGCTGAACAAGGCCAGAGAGAAGGACTGCAACTTCTTGCGCAATTTTGCGAAGGCTTTGAATTCTTCAAGTGTAACTCTTATGTCCCTGAGATGTGGGTTATTCTCCAATTCATCAACTAGATCCAACAGCTTGTTTATGTGATTGATGTCAGCAGATGCAACCAAGGACAGCCCAAAATCTCTGGCTGAAATGCTTCCTCTTTCATTGTAGTCATAGTGGGAGAACTCTAACCGCAATATCTGCAAATCACATTATCACATCCCAGTGATATAGATGGGACCAGAGTTATTCATCTCATAACATGAAAGTCAGTAATTACAGGGGGGTGTATATGCAAAGGTTAAAACTTCCTTTCTTTGATTTTCTCCCCAAAGAACCCTTTGGTAGACTGACATCTTGTATATTTTGATCCTACACATACCTCATCATGTAGGTCTCTCAAGAATTGGCCAAATTTCTCAATATTTAAACAGTCCTTTCCTTCTTTGCCAAAAAAATACTGCAAGAGACCCCCATCTTCTACACCAGTTACATCCCCTTGTCTGTGCTGACTTCGCATCAATGCCATCACTTTGTTGAACTCTTGCTTGTCTATATGCCTGTATGCACAAGATTTACACATTCATCAAATTACAAATTGATGTATTTCTGCATCCCTTTTTATACCGTAACTGCTAGATCTTGTCTATAGGCAGAGCAGCCAATCTTTTTCTTTTGCCCTTTTCAAGAAATAGGAGTAGAAATTGAATCTTAAACTTTGAACGCAAGTCAATTTTTTTAAACTGATGTTATGTGACCTCATGCATCGAAGTATGTATGCTTCAATTGATAATGTAACCACGTGAAAAAGGTGAGGCAATGTGGCCAAGAAGACGGATGGCTTCCTTAATATTCTTTCGTTTATATGACTTTGAAGAATATCCATTGTTCGTACGTAATTGGGAAGGCATCCATAATTATGAGCGATCGCATCATCATGTATACATAGATCAAATCGTTGTATCTAACACTATCTAATTCTTTAACAAACACATGAAGCATACTTTAATTTAAGCATCCAAATACGCTGAAGCTCAATGCAGACATGCAGATTGAAACACAAAGCCCAAGCTTTTAGTGGAAATTGTTTGTAGATATCTTTCGAATTTGATCTCTCTGAAGGAAGAAAGATTCAGACCTACCCATTGTTGTCAAGGTCAAACATTTTAAATGCCACTTGAAAGCCTGACTCTGGAATGCTCAAGAGAGTAACAAAGAAGATGTACCTGATGTCAAGGAAGAACAGGTCAGCACTTCCTACTCTGAATTCATAAAAGCAATGAAACATCAACACTTGAAAAAATAAAAAAAGCCTGAATCTCTGCTGCTGCAGCACAATGCTAGGAGACGTGTGCCTTGCTGCCTCAGCAGAGAATCAAGTGTCGAACAATGAGTCATAATATGTACTCTTTTTGGTACCTATTATTTTTTGTCCTTAATATAAGGTACTTGATAAGGTACTAATTATATTTTTTTTCAATATTATCCCTATTTAAATTCATTAATGATGGGGGAAAAATGCAATGTAAATTTGAAAAATTTTTCATTTAAATAGGAATAAAATTAAAAGTTCATTCTATTATCATATAAAGTTAGTTAGAGATGAGAGAGAGAGAGTGTGTGTGTGTAATATTTGTTTGGCACGAAGCATCATCTGAAGCCAGGACGTGCTGAACAGGTTAAAGAGAGGAACAATAAGGAAGAAGGACGGCTTACTCAGGAAAAGAAATGAGACCATCATTGTTAGTGTCAAAAAGCATGAAGAACTGAGAAGGAGGACAACTGAGATCACCAGGATGCTGCTCTCCAGGGAGACAACCCTCTCTTACACGAGATGATCCTGATGGTGGGAACACAGGCACCACTGCTCGCATCAAATCTGCTGGCGTCATGAACGCCTCACGACTCCCTGGTGCTCTCACTGATGCAAAGTACTCAAAAACCTGCACTTGTTGATACATGGTAACCTCATCTTCACTGAAACTATTGCAGCAAAATCTATCTTCGTTAATTGTTCTGATAATGTAGCATTTCTCAGGCACGGCTCCAGTTTTTAACTTATAGTATGTGTTTAGTTTCTAATTTACATCTCTTAAAGTCCATTTGGGAGATCCAACTATTGGTTAAATTCGGCAAAAGCACATTCTACATTTGATTTAAATGGACAAAAGCAAAGTTTCTTTTTACATGTAGGACTGTCCAAGTGTCTCTTTGTCTTTTATCTCTACCTCTATTTGCCTAAATAGAACATTTGAGCGTAATTTTTCTTGTCTTATATCACTAAGTGGATCATTGTCAAGCAAATTCTCGTGTTTGGATTAATGAGGTTCAAATCTAATATTTCAAATTATAATTTTTTTTGTAATTTCAAATTTTCTCTAAACCTTAATTATTTAAAATTTTAATTACTTTAAACATATTATGCTCTTTGCTTTTTCACTATTGATATCACTATGACTTTTGTATCTTTTTTCATTTTTTATTGATTGAAAAATAAAAATAAATTTGTTATTTTCAATTTTTTATTTTTGTGTCAAATATCAATTTATTTCTTTTCTTCATTTGAAATTTTTTAAATTATCCAACAAATTATTTTAAATACATGTTTGAAATGCAAGATTTCATATCTAAAATGCAAATCCAAATATATCAATTCAAATGTCACCAGAAGTTGAAATCTATGGATTTTTGTGCAGTCATTTTTGATATTTTCACTTATTTTATTATCTTTTGATAAATATAAAATCTTCCATTTCTTCCTTAAGAATGTAAACTTTATGAAATTTATGGATTCCAACTTCAGAAGATATATCCCCGATTTGTATATACACTATAATAATTTAGAATAGATTTTACTGTATAATTTATTATTTCATTCATATTTTTTATTTCAAAAATAATAATAACTATGACCCATCTGATTGGTTGAAAAAAAAAAAAGTAGTTAACATGTCAAACCTATATATATTTAAATTATTCAATAACATCTTGCATGTTTCAGATCCTTTTCAAGCATTAGAGAGTATTATATTATATATAGGAGTTGCCTGGAAAAGATTGTGCTCGACAAAGGAAATTATGAAGTTGCTTCGTTCATACCAATCAAGATGACTAGTTGTATTGATTTGTTTCAAGCATCCACTAATAAGATTGATTACCTTTTCAAGGGGACTTTGCAAGCGAATTCGTTTTTCATATTTGAAAAATACTCGTCTTCTATAGCTATCTGGAGCCAAAAAGAAAAAAGAAACTGGATATATAAGTATTTATATATGTATATATAAAGCATATAAATTCATCTAATTTGTTTTTGTAACTCAAACAATTCCTACAAATACCTTCATCTTCAGATTTTTTTCCCCTTTGACTGTATGATATTGTGCTTTAATTAAGACTATATATATATATATATATATCCCTGTCTCAGTGATCTCAAAAATGCAATTTCTTCTCAGTTCAGTGCTGTTTGAAAAATAAATTGTCTCAAGATTTGATCAAATTTTATCTTTTTTTCATTTAAAATATACATAATGCAGATGAAGTAGTCTACAGGAAAATCAGAAGGTGAAATTAATATATATGTATATATACACAGAAAGATAGAGAGGTGATAGTATTACCATTGAAGATGAAGGATTGGTTTTTTGGAGGCTCATACTGTTGTTGGAGCTGATTCTCTTCCCTTGCATAGTCAGCAAATGCCTGAACAGAATCCTCACCTAAAGAATTGGACAAATACCAAAATCCCAAGGCAGAGCCAACCACCGCAATTCCCGAAACCGGCGTCAAAAACTTATCAAACTCCGATTTGTCACCATCTCTGAAGCCTCCAATGGTGGTGGCAGTGCTGGCTGGCGAGGAGGATGATGACGACGATGACATGGAGGGTTGTAATTGGCTGAAGATAACCCGGGGTCGAATGGAAGGGATTCGATGTAGGGAATGCTGGAATCTTGTGAGAGACGTCCAAGAAAACATTCTAACGTAGGGTTAATAAGATTCTGAGATGTTTTAAGATATCAAAATGCAAAACTAAGAGACAGAGAAAGACTCAGAGACAGGATTGGTTGCTTTAAGGAACAGGAGAAAGAAGAGAGACGGACATACTGACAAGACATTGAAGTAAGATCCAATATGAAGGGAGTAGAAAATAAGTAGGGATCAAGCATTGACTATGAAAGAAATTAGCTGGTAGTTTATGGTTACGATTGCCTCGCTCTCAAAATAGAAAATCCATGTTCATTTTATCCTCTTATCTTCAATATGATAGTGTGTGTGTGTGTGAGAGAGAGAGAGAGAGAGAGAGAGAGAGATAAAAGTATAGCATAATAATTGTCTCTAATTTTTTCTCTTCAACATAAATAAAGATATCAAAATCGAATAAGCACATCAAATTAGTGCTCAAATTAGTGCAATCTAATTGATGTGAACAGCACCTAATAGTCCTAAGAATATTAGTTAAATATTTCCTTAAATAAGATAGCTAAGAAAATAGGAAACTAAATAAGATAATTAGCAGAATAGGAAAAATTAAGCTGGAAAACAAGAAAGTAGTAATTGATTGAATTCTAAATTATATTTGGCCATCCAATGTTATATTAAAAATATAAGTCATTTTTAGTTTTTCGAGGTGTAATCATTGCTTTTTTTTCAAAAGTGCTCCTATTAATAATGACTTTATATTTATTGTAGGGTATTTAATAGGGATAAATATAGAAAGATAGGATTAGTTGGAAAGTAGTTAACTACTTTACTAGGGTGAAATTCAGTTAAAAATGCCTTACATTTTTTAACAGAAGGAGTACTATAATTCATTATTCATATCTTCAAACTTTCATTGAGTTGTGTTTGGATTAATGAAAATTTAAATTTGTATTTAGATTAAATTTCACATTTGTATATATATATATATATGTATATATGAAAATTGAAAATCAATGGATATATTTGTTGGAAATGAAAATGAAGAGCAACCATCCAAAAATAAAAGAGAACAAATGGACAAAAATAGTAAAAAGACATCATATCTTAATTCAACTTTATGGTTTAAATTTATAAGTTATTTTCGTATTATATATATTAGTTATTGAATTCAATTTTAACAATTGTGAAATTTCCCACATCGACTTAAATCCATTCACACTTGAATAACATAATAAGATTCAATCTAAAGCCAAATTCATTTATTATTATAATTCGTTTATAATTTCAAATTTCATTTGTATCGTAGTTATTTGAAATTCTAACTATCTTAACCCTCTCATTCTCTTCGTGCTTTTATTATCAGTGTCTCTAACGCTGTCACCTCTTCTCTCATCTCTTACCAATTGAAAAATAAATGTAAATTTGTCACTCTCAATATGTTGCTTTGCTTCAAATATAGGCTCCTTTCTTTTTTTTTTTTTCCCTTTTAAATTTTTTTCGTTGTCTAAACAACTAATTTTAATATATGAATTTTATATGTAAGATTCTAAATCTAAATTTTAAATTGAAATCTATCAATTTAAGCATTACCATAAATATCTTTAATTGTCATATATATTTGGGCTTGAATGAACAAGGCCAAGGGTTTGTTGGTAGAATTCGTACCAAACAATTTGCTTAAGAAATAACTTAAAAAACAAAAGAAAGTTCCTTTATGTATCTCTATTCCATTTGATTACCAGTATCTTGATTCTTGAGGCTTCATTGTGTTGAATTGAGAATGACATTTGTTGCGTTACGCTCTTAATGGATTAGGCCAAGTGAACAGAGACCCGGCTTGAATTAAATAATTATGGTAGTGGTTACCAGAACAATTTGAATTATGAGAGCATTGTATTTATGTAACGACCTTAAATCCCTCCCTATCCTGAAATATGGGAAGGTTTTTTTCAACATTTTAAATTTATGATCAAATAACATTAAAAACATGCTTCATGCTAAAAATAAACATATGATCTTTCTACGAAATTGAGACATAAATTCAAAAGTACATTATAATCATGGAAACAAGTACTCAAGTTGACAATGATAATATGAATTCTCTTCAACATCAAATTGAATCTTTCAATATTCTGAATCTTACAACTAAAAGTTCCTAGTGAAAAAGAAGGCATAATAAAAGAGTCAAAAGACCAAGAAAAAGCATGCTTAGTAATAGAGACATTTCATGCACATCTCGATCTATGACATCTTGATTCTCCTTAAATAGCAGTCAGACAAAACCTCCTTTGTGAATGATGATATCTAGATGTCCAAGCGGGTGGTTGCCAGTCAAAGGATCCGCAGCATAAGAAAAATTTGTGAAAGTGCAAATCCAGTTTAAGATGGACCAGGTACATGCAGAACAAAAGCGAATTGGGTCCGTATTAGATGACTGAGAGGCACTACTAAAAAATTATAAATTAGTGAAAAAATTTAGTGAGAGATCATCTATTCCTCTCTAAAATATCAAGTTAACGAAAAAATTAACAAAGGATGTTGACTTCATAGCTTGACTTAAAATTAGCGAGGAAATTAGCGAGGGACTGTCAATCCATCTCTAAAATAAGAGAATTAGTATGGAAAATAGTGAGAAACTATCAATTCCTTTTTAAAATAAGATAATTAGCGAGAGATTTAGCAAGGGTTCTATCCCTAACTAATTACTATAAAAAAAATTATCTTTTGACAATGACTTTTAATTATACATTTAATTATTTTCATTTAAAAATAATAATTAAATTTAAAAATTAACTAAAATATTCATAATAAAATTATTTAATATTTTCTTTATTTTAAGTTGATTTTCATTAATAAAATAATATTTTATTAAAAATATAATATAAAGAATAATTTAAATAAAATATAAATATTTTTAACATATTAATAATTGAAAATGAAATTTAATATGTATATGTATGTATTTTTATAATATATTATTTAATATATTTATGTAGTTAAATAATATATATATATATATATATATTTTTTTATCATATAATATTTGTAAGTGCCTTTCAGTTCAATGGCAAAGAAAGAGAGCATAAAGCTTGGAAGGTATGAGGTCAAGGGTTCAAACTTTGGCTTTGGCATAAACATGATGAATATATGATATGATAAGAAATAAGTGACATGGCATAAGGTGAACAATGACGTGTCATGAGTTGTCGCACCCCTAGTGGGTGATAGGGCACGAGATGGTAGGTGACATGGTGGTTGATAAAGCATGAGGTTGTTAATGATATGTCACAAGTTGACATCACATATGGCGGGTGATGTGGCATAATTATTTTTAAATATAAGCATATTTAATGAGGAATTAGCGAGGGATTCAGTCCCTAACTAATTTTAGAGAGGGATTGAATCCCTCCCTAAATCCCTCACTAATTAACGAGGGAAATACAATTTCTCGCTAAATTTAACAAGCCCTTTTTTAGTTACGAATTTAGCGAGAGACAAAATTCGTAGCTAAAATGCAATTTAGGTACAAAAAATGGCATTTAGCGAGGGATTCGTCCCTCACTAAATTCAATTTTTCTAGTAGTGAGATGAGGATTTGAAGGAGCTCTTCATTATTGAGATAGATGAAGGCCACACAATTGGTAAGATGCCTGTTTTCTAAACTTTGTAAGCCTTATCTTCCATCTCAGAGTTTTGGGTCTTAAAATCCATGTATTCTGAATTCTGCCAAATGTGAGTTTTGATGAAGAGTTGCTCATGTGAGCAATATTGAAAGTTTTAGGTGTGTTCGGTTTTTAACTTTTCATATCCCAAAAGTGTTTTTTTATTTTTGGGATGTGGAAAGTTGTTTGGACATGTTTTTATAAAAAAATAAATTTTTTGAATGTGCTTCTTGAAAGTGAGTGAATATGGATTTTGACGGAATGACTTTTGGGAGCTTTTGAAGCTCACATTTGGGTTTGGGTATTAAAAAATGGAATTAAATGGATACCTTATTTTTTATTTACCATACTACCCCTTTCCCTTTATATTTCTCTCCTTCCCCTTTCTTTTTTATCCATATCTATTCAACCTTTTTTATCCCTTTGATGTCTACAGATGATACTTTTTTTAAGACAAAAATTATATCAATAAGTATTCTGGTATTTTTTTTTAATTTCATGTTGATCTGGTTATATTATATTAGATTAAAAAATCAATGCAATAAAATATTAAGAAACTGTTAAATTTTCCCTTGATATGTAGAAAACTTTACTGTATCAAATTTTTATTTAACAAATTAACAAATCAATTTTTAAGTTATTTATCACATTTTTAAAAACCTTTTAATCTATTACATTTGTGTATCAAAAATTATAACTCATTATAAATCAATATCCTTTTTAATTATTGTACATTCAAAAGTATATTTTACTATCATGATCCAAATAATTTTTGATTTATCAAAATGACTATTGAAAAAAAAAATTAAACATAAATTTCATTACAACAATTGACTTTTACTGAACTGACTTTTATCAAGTAAATTTTTGACAAATGAGCTTTTGATAAACTAAAAACCAAACACACTTAGTTTCTAACTTCCAAGAACCCACAGACTTCAGGCAATTAAATTGGCCCTGAAATTCCTTGATGATTTGAGACGGAGCAAAACGTAATCCTTGATGAATGGCTATGTTTCTTTTATTCCATATCAAATGCAAGAGAAGGAAAATTCCTTCTAGGATATGATGCTGCGAAGAGCGACGAAGCTCATCAGAGACTGAGATAAGCCAATCATTAGTCTTTGCTCAGAGATGACAGTGGAGTTGACTGAGAGATAACCAAACCAGATTGATCTGGTAAATGGGCAATCACAAAAGATGTGATTAAGAGTTTCCTGAATGTCACAACCAAAAGGGCACAAAGTTGAGCTTGGAAGATGGTGATTGATGAGAATGTCTCAAGTGGTAATGGCCTTGTGCACAAGCTTCCATATGAATAAAGTAGAGTTTTGTATGAAAGATTGAGTTTCCAAAGATAAGACCAAAAATCTACATTAGTAGATTCAGACA